TTCTTACTTCTTTTACGCTTATTATGGCATAATAAAATATGTTGTATACTAATAAAAATTATGAAAAAATTGACTATTCGATAAAATATTAACTAAAAAAAAAAAACGCGTCAGAATGTACGTATATATGTATGTGTGTTAAAGCAGTTATCTTTCTTTAGATTGGTTTGTGTAGGATGGATACAACAGACCCGCTTATAATGATTTAGATGTTGCTATGGCATGCGATATACCTCAATATTTATTTTAAACAAATTCACCGCAACCTCCACAAAACATTTCAACGCACCACATGTGCTTTCCACACATCTACACAGTGGCATCATCAATCGGATCAAATAATATCAGGAATTCTAAGATTAATCCCAATCAATAACACAATAAATTAATCTGAACTTTCTGAATCAACTGAACTTTTTCTTCCCAATTTCGGTGATAGTTGGTCACACATTTTTTTATGCCTCTTTCTTTGTTAATATGATCAATCGCTTCAAGTATATTCTCTACACATGCGACAAGGTCATGGTCAGAAGGAAATGGTGAAGAAGATAAGACGATTAGAAATGGCCGCAACAGTTTAGCGGGCTTGTACCCAATCGCCTAGTGGTATGCCTTTACCGGCTAAGCACTCCACTGTGACTACAGTCACGACTCTTATCTACTTGGTTACTTTCATTCGCCCACAGAAACCCTCTTCAATTTAATATGTTTTGACCCGTTTTTCGTACCTCCTTCAGGCGATTACTAAATGTTACCCTTTACTATTTATATATCTAAGCCCATCATCATTGGCTTTCCAGTACTTTGTCCAACACTCACTTTGATGTACTTTTGCGGTAATATTTTTCCTGCAGGAATTGTGTTCCGTTTCGTTTTCATTGAGATGAAATACTCTTATTAGTTTAGCAATTGGCTCATATTGGAGCAGTTAATTTCCCGCAACTTTTTGATCTAAATTAGCATAAAAAAGGCAGATGCTAGATATGTTTGCCTTAACACATTATTTACAATCAAATACTTGTTGTAAAGTTAGTTGCGTGCGATTTCTGGGAATTTCTTACATTTTCACACCATATACATAAAAATTGAAAATAATTCGCTAATATTCTAAAAGCTTTATGGCTCATCATGTAATTCACAATAATAATATCAGTCGGCACGCATCTCAGCGCGCTCTTCATTTTATTTCATTTAATTAATTGAATTGTTTGCATTAAAATGCATTTTTTACTGTGATAATGGTTCTGTGAGTGAGCATAGACACGGTTAACTGGACGGACGAAAAGCTAAACGGACTTTTCAATAAACTTTATTACCTCTAATTACATATATCTATGCGTGTGTGCATGTGTGTGTGTGTGTGTGTGTGTACGTTTATGCGTGAATGTGCTCAAGTATTTAAAATCTTTGCGTGATTGTGTAAACAGTTTACGTAGATCGTATATGCTTTTTATGATAGTTTGATTTCTTATTTTATTTCTTTCTTTGCTTTAAAATTTGCATAAAATAATTATATAATTTTTTTTTTTTTTTCGGTTATTATTTCTATGGTTGGTTGTCTCTGAAATCACCAATCGGCGGCGCCAGCTTAAACGCGTACATTGTTCTTTGTTAAAATGCAAATAAATAAACAAATGTATGCATAGGTATGCGTACAGCGGCAAGGGAGAGATGAAAGTTTAAAGTTAAAAGACCTCCCATTCAAATGAATTTAATTTAATTTGCATACTAATTAGAAAAACCCTCTTACGAAACGAGTAATTAATTTTACCAAAACGATTACTTTCGAAAGAAATGATAAAACCAAAAGAGGGAAAAAGCAAAATAGCTTAAATGTTTCGTAAGCAATTTCGTATTATTAGAATCTGAGATTAGCTTCGTCTATCATTTGATACCCATTTATGGGTATCAAAGCGACAGGTTGTTTATTGGAATATCGACTCTCATTAACTATTTAAGTTTTTCTCTCACACTTCCGTTGTTGCATGCAAGTTTATTGCTGCTAGTTTTGTTCCGGAAATGTCATATTTGGCGATTTAAGTTTTCATGAAAATTAGATGATTTTCTAAAAAACCTAATTCTAAAGAAAAGAAAAATCAAATACGCAATCATGATGGGTTATCTGTGTCATGCAGCTGGCGACTGACGAAAAGCTTCACAAAAATTGGCAGAAAATTTCGCCAGGAAAACGGATTAACGGATTAGAAATGTTGCGATGAGTTTAGGCAATGGTGAGTTAGTTACTTGTAAAAGGGTATATAAGCAAAGTATTTACGCAAGGCAAACTGAGTCTGCAGGTTAGAATAGAGAGTCGAATCAGGAGAGTCGAATTTTAGTATTCAAATGGACCAACGGACAAGACAAGAGCGAGCATTAAAGCGTTCTGAATACAAGTTCTTGTAACTGGAGCTCCTAAGAATTGTAAATAAAAACTTTACTACTCTAAAAATCATAATTCAACAGTACGAACTTAATAAGAAGTCGAGTAAAATCTTGTACTTTACGCCCAGGAACTAACTATAACTTCGTTTCTAAGACCAAACAGTAAGACCAATATTCAAGTTAAATTTGCACGGATATTTTTTCTAAACTTGTAGCACTGAGCGGACAAACGTCTACGTCAAATTTCACATCGTAAACGTCATTAGTGTTTCAACTGCGCTTGGTTTAGGAAAGAAGGAATTCTAAGCAAATTTTAGCCGAAGATGGAAAGTACTTATTTGGTCCAAAAAGAAATAACGCGTGATATTCAAAGTTCCTTGTAAAATTATCCGCACCATATTGTTTGATACTTTGGTCATCACGCTACTTACAACTCGTCCAGTTGTAGTGCCATAAATTCACAACAAAAAGTTCGCTCAAGCGATGATTCGATACCTACCACTTCCTGGAAGGAAACATAAATTGATTCAACAAATTTAGAAGTTATCCTGGAAAATATTTCTTGATAACTCGCAATATTATTAAAAACAAAAGTTAGAAGAAGAAGAAAATTACATTAATCTGTGACCGAATGTTCTACACTCACTCCCAAAATCGTTCGTTGGTGGATCTAAAAACATGATTGTGAACGAAAGAAAAGCATAATACTCTGCGGACTGAGATGGGTACGCCGCTATGTACCTGGCAAGTAAAAGGATCTATATTCTTATGCAAATAAACTTTTCGGCAAAAATGCAAGACGATCATGGAAATGAAAGCAATTGAATAAAAATGTCTTTATCGATAAAGAGTTTTTTTTTTGAGGACACACACGATGACACAAAAGGGAGAAGAAACGGAAGGGAGTTTTAGAATAAATTGCAGTTAATAGCTAAAAGATTCAAAGTCATCCAGGTTTCCTGATCACATCCCACCCAGTATAGCGTATGTGGTATTTGTTTAATTAAATCTTTAGCAATATTCGATTTGAAAACGGATTTTGATCATAGGCTACAGATCGGGACATTCTACACCTTAACTCATATCTAATTAATATCAAGACTATTACACCTACAATAAGCCACTGGGGAGTAGACAAACCTTGTTTTTTTATATTATTATTTTATGTTTTTTTGCGTTTTATATACATATATATATATATATGTATATGTAAAATAGTGCATACAAGACGTACGTACGCATGCGCCAATCGTTGTCACCATCAGCGCAAATGCATGATGATGTTAAAGTCGCGACAAATAGACGCTTGTATTTCACGTGACGTATGTCTGAATATGCAATTTTTGTTTACACATTTACATGCACAAATCTAAATATATTTGTGATTAAAAACAAACCAAATGTAAATCACAACCGCGCTAACCAATAAGTGAGAGAGGGAAGTCATGCGTATGTATACAACATATGCGATTAAGTGATCAGATAATTTCAAATATATGTGCGTGTATATATACGCGACAAAAGAAAGCAAAAAAGAAAAACACCTCGCGCGTTGATATGTTAGGTAATAACGTGAATGCAACACATCTAATTACAAGCAAACCAACATAAAAAAGAGATATTGAAGTTTACAACCGAAAGTGGGCGCATTTCATATGGAGTTAATTGAAATTTAATAAACTTCACATTGCACATTACACACAATTACACATATCAGCGTTTAGTTGCTGTAGTAGAAGCAGGCGTAAACCGAACCGAAGAGCAAAAAATAAAAACAAAAAAGAAGATATATATATATATATATATATATATATATATATATAAAATATATCTAAATTGGGAATCAGGCAATTCTGTGGAATAAAATGTAATAAATTATTGTGCACTTATTTGAACATGCAATCCGTTTCGGCGAGACGAAAGGAGTTGGGGGGTTAGAGCTTTAATGAACTGCAGATGTAAGTGCCGACTGCTGAGTTTTTAACGTTTGTCTTATCAGTTTCCTGTACAGCGTCTTTTATATTTCAACTTTTTTTTTTTTGCTTTTAAGGGAAAATTATTAAAAATCTTTAAAACATTTAAGCGTTAAGAGTTTTCGATCGCAACATACAACCTGTCACTTAAGAATCTATTACTATTAAGTAAGTCTTTTACCTTGGATTGTGTAAAGATCGTTGAAGAGGGCAAGACAAGCCGTTTAAAAGTTTTCAAATTTCTCTCTGCTTTTCTGAATTTCTTTTTAAGTACTTCAAGTTCAGTACATGATCAGGAAGGATTAGTTTCTGAAAAAGCCCCTATAATCCTAATAAACGGCTTAATTGGTGGAGAAATCTTTTTCACCTCTGTAGAAGAGGTTGTCCATATACATGGACTACGCACCCAATATCACGCCGATGCTCAAAGATACACTTTCGTCTCCCATAAGCATCTGAGCCCTTCGCTGCTTTAGGCGAAAACTGTAATCCTAATATTGGCTGATGGATATATAATTATTATGATGAAAAACCTTGAATAATATAATAAAAAAAAAAATTTTTCTATATATGCTATCATTATAAGAAAATACGCAAATAGAATAATAATCATTAGAATTTAAATTTAAAAAATTTTCATTTCAGTTCATGCGAATACCATACGACCGTTTCTCCATATTGAAAGGCCAAACATCACAAGACTGATTATTACACAACCACGCCTACCGCACTATCTCTCATGTAATGCTACTATAGAACCATCCTACTACCACAGTAAGTATCTTAAAAAACAATGAACTGAAATTAACTCAAACGTAAGCAACTAATGAAACAATTTTTCGTTTTAACATAGCAATTGTGTATTAATTTTCTATTTAATTTTTTTTTTTTTCAATTCAAGGTGATACTAAATATTATTATACGTGGTTTCGTAATGACAATATATTACCCAGAAATGATTTCATACTTTATCGCAATGGCACATTGCGTTTACCACCTAAAGAAAAAGCGAGCGGCAGCTATCGTTGCAAGATCAACGCTGATACTACTGCTCTTATATCGGAAAGCATTACAGTCGAATATCCAGGTGGGATGCATTTCGTTCATTCATTCTTCCTTTTTTTTTTTTTGTTTGTTTGTTTGTTTTTTTGCTTTTCATAACCTCTATATGGTTTTGTACTCATCACAACAAGGCCTTACATTGCCATTTAAACTTAGTTTAACATGAAATACATGCAACACACAGTTCATTAAAAAGCAATAAAAGCATTTCAAGCAAAGCCTTTGATAGTAATTTCCAAAAAAATTGCAATTTATTAGAGAAACTATGGAACATAACTAGATGAACAGCCTAAGAAGAAAGCATTAGTCAGCAGGATAAAAAAAAAAATCAACTCCACGCGTAGCATAGCAAGCATACACAAGCAAATTAAGCAAACAGATTGTTGTTAGACATCCTGTGTACTAGTAAATCACCACTTCAATTATTTTAGGCTACCCAGACAAGCGGCATAGGTTGGTTCATCTAAGTCGAGTGAACTAACTGCAATAAACGAAGCAGATAACAAAACCTAAGCAAAAAAGTTTTCCCAGTTTAAGCGGGGAAAAGTAACCGGCGGGCTCAGAGTAGTCTGCACACCCATGCACTTAGAGTAATCTAGCCAAAATAAATTCCACATCAAGTAAACTTGCAGTAATCCGCCTAAAGAGAGTAATCATAATGCACATTAGATTAATTAATGTAATTATAGTAGATTATGCGGCCTAAGCAATGTGGTTAATCCATCCCAATCAGGATGCATTATTAGCATAGTTATCAAAGGAAAATTGAATGCTTCACTTGCCAAATCGATTAACTCCATAAAACAAAAAGTTGAGAGAAATGATAAAATATTATAAATAAATTATTGATTATTCAGTGGCCAAAACGATTTTGCCATTTAGTGTTGCTAATACTTATACGGTTAGTTAAGTATAATCAAATTCCAAAAATGGAGTTAATCGATTTGGCAAATGAAGCATCCAATTAGAAGTAAAAGATACCTTGAGAATTCCACAAAGTAACCAGTAATGCCACAGGAATTGCATAAATGCTTAAATTTTTTAAATCGTTCGCAAGTGTGTTTGATAAGCCTTGGCAAAGAAAGTGATTCTTATACGAAGCCATAAATTAGTAATGTTTATCCAAATAACTGGCAAGTGATAACTGGTTTTAAACGGCAACAACAAATCGAGTTTTCTACAAACAATTTCATATCTTATTTTCTGCACTTGATAGCTCTTAAGGGAAACTTATAGGAATTCGTTTTGATGAGGTGCCTTTGTTTGCTGATCACATTTTAATTGTTTGCATGCAGCAGCGCCTTGTTGTGTGGGCATGTGAAATAAGCGGCATTAGCCGAATCTAAATTGTTTTCTTTCCTTCTTTCTTTTTACATATATAGTTTTACGAAAGCTACGATCGAATGTTAATTATACGACTGCCGTGGGTAATACCCTGACATTAAATTGTCCTATTCAAAGTATACCGCCTGCCAATGTAAGCTGGTATTATGGAAATGTATCGTTATCGAAAATTTTCAATGATAACAGGCGAGTAAAGATCAAAACTGCAACAACAATCGAATGGTATCGTAAGCGGGTTGTTAATTATTCAATTTCCGAAGGCATTTCCGGGCTTTAAGTATTAATATTCTACCATTCGATTGCAGTATGCTAGTGTATATGAAATACAAAAAAAATTTCGCTTCTCTTCATATAAGTTTTTTTTGTTTTTTTTTTTTTTAACATTTTCTAATTGTTTTTCTCTTTACAGCTATTTAATTTTATCTAATGGCAGTTTAGTTTTAAGAAATCCTAAATTAATAGACGCTGGCAAATATAAGTAAGTAATATGCATTTATATTGACTACAGCTTTTTATGCAATTTCCCACAATTTCACTGTACATATATATTTTTTTCTCGTCGCGCCTTCCCGCAGAATATATAACGCCACTGATTTTGATAAAAGCGTACATATCTAGCAAAAGCATCAAATATATGCACTTTTGTATTTTACGCTTAATTTCAGATGTTATTTCCGCTTTCCGTAAGGACAGAAGAGCGTTCTCACATAATTTATTTGCAAGTTTAACTTATCTATGTTAGTTAAGCGCTTAAATCATAGCTAAACGCTCATTTAGTTAGCATAATATGTGAACTCAAACATGATTCACTCGCGCTTTAATGCGTGATGGGAATAAGGAATGTTGAAAACTAACCTGAGATACTGAATAGATATAGAAAATAATTTAACTTGAATATATATATTAATTTGCACAAGTTATGTAATGCTTTATAACGAACTTAATCTAAATTGTTTTTGCTTTCGTTTCCTACTCTTTCTTCCGTTCCAATCAGAATTTTCCGGTAGAGAGCGATAAACTCGAGTTTCAAGCGACTGCAAAATGCTTCAAATCGAAACAATTTCCAATTTCTAATAATTCCTTCAGTACAATAGGCAATAACACAAACACAAACACACACACACACACACACATAGAAATTTCTATCATAATATCTAACTGGCCAATAGATCTTAAATAGATTGATAGATAACCTGTTAATTGAACATTTTTTTTTTTTTCTTTCTTATAATTCGCCTTAACTAGAAACACTTACACATGACTTCGCAACACAATACTTAACAAGTTGAGAATGTTCCATCCATAATCTTTTAAATCACTTGCTTTACAATAATTGCTATTGCCTCCTGATGTTGTCACGTGTAGTAAATCCGAGCCAATTCTTTTCCCAAGATTTTTTAAAAAAAGTTTAAATTTCGATTTTTTAAATTATTACTTTTTATTCTTTCCATCCGATACGTATGTGGGTTGATTCGCATTTGGCGCATTTATGGAAAGTCTAGACTATTAACAGACATTACGAAACAAAAAAAATAAATAAATAAATTAATAAATAAATGGAAGTCTTTTAACCAAAACCGCAATGGTTAGCGGTTGCGAGGTAATAAATTAATATCTCATTTGACAGTCCACTATCATGCTGAAAATCAACCAAACACTCGCACGAACCTATAATAAAACAAGGTATAAAAAAATGCGAAAAATATGAAACTTTAATTAATCATTTTTACGATTCGTTAATAATGATAATTAGGACTAACTTGTGAGTGTAATCGCAAAGCTATATATGTATGCACGAAAACTGATACTATGGCAAATGTCGAACGTTAGTTAAACAAAGGTAAACTTTCGATTTTTAATGAATGCGGTCAGCGAGTAAAAATTGAAAGGTTTAAATTCTTATAGAAAATAACAGAAAGCAGAAATTAGGTAAGCATGATGACACGGTAAAGGGCAAGTAACTAATATGGTTAACTTGCTTTTTCTCTTTCCGCTTGCAGCAATAATTCTATCATTCCGGTTGTGATACTCAAAAGGATGTATCGATAAGAGCCCACCAAGCATATTTTCTTCTTTTTTTTTTCGCTTTCATTTTTTCAACTTTGAACTAGCTATGCTGGTCGGACATATCCCCTTTTATAATTTACTTGAAACGTAGGCATTCAACACTCGCCACTGACTTTGTCGTCGTGAGTACATTCCCGAAAAGAAAACGTTGAGGGCATCAGACATATGTGAAATAAAACTTTCGATTTCGCTTTCGAGTTGAATTAAAAAGTTGACCGACTAACTTGTAATGGGTTATGACAAAAGTCGGCAAATGATTTAGAATTTTTATTCTGAAGCTGCTTCGTAGACTTATGACTAGTTGCACACATACTTATTTCTTAAGTCATCCATAACTTTCTCGCATCTAATCGCCATATGCTTTTTGTCATTTGCATTTTGGCCTGAAAAAATTGGAAGTATTTCGAAATATTCAAAATGCCAGGCTGAGTGCACTATTAATGATCACAAAAGGATAATTTTTTTATTCTCTGCGTTTTAATGACTCTATTAAACGAGCTACATTTCAGATCCATGCTTAGTACATATTGCTAATAATAATTAATATTGAAATTGTGGATTTTTTCAATGAGTTTGGCTGGGCGTTTTTATTGTTGCGAGAGGAGTTGTGAATGAACCACAGCCGATAGACCAGCACACCGTGCAAGTAACGCAAGCAAAGTGATAATTAGTGAAGAAAAGGAATGATAATCGAGCCAGCATTTATTGCTTTGACCAAAGTCAAAGAAAACGATGGGAACGGACTTGCCGATTTTTAACATTATTTCCTACAAATTCGCGGCTATTTTTCGTCTTATTGCAGAAATGTATGGAGAGAGTAAGCGCATATGCGAGAATGATATAAATACGACAGCATTCGATCATTTGGGTAACTTTTGTTTAACGAAAGAAGTGTGTACATGCGGACATGCAGCCATACGCAGGCATTACGTGTACGTGCAGGCTGGTGCAGTTTGTTCTTCTTTTGCATCATTTATGGATTTGTTGATGAAACACCTAATATGATTAATTACAAATCTTGAAAATAATAGAATCTGCTGTCACTAGTGTAACGTTTTAGGAGCTATACGAGAATTTACCTTTGCCTTCAAGTTGTTATCTAGTTACAGTAACTTTATACCGGTATATTATAACTCTCTAAAGTATATTGGAATTCGTCGTTACATGAAAGATATAAACTGGCTATAGTTACCCCCCCCCCCCCCCCGGTCCCCCCCGTTTTTGCTCACTTGTACCTTTTTGAGCTTATGTACAATCTATTCTTACTCCTGAGGTGCGGCCTGTTAACGGACCATCGCCTCTATCGAATTATAGCTTTCTGGGGTTACCCCCTGTCGTTACCTCTGAAGTAGATCCTAGTTAGGTGTTAGTAATATCCATTATGTGTGCATCCATTATGTGTGCCTCCGAAATTATGTAACACTAGTGAACGTGCGTACAACGGCACACATTTCTTTAAGAAAGTGACAAGTGAGCATCACTCCACAGCAAGCAATAATAAGAACAGAAAAAAGCTCATTCGCCATTGTGTGATCTCTAAAAAGTAGCAGTAAACTAGGTGCAAACTTGATTTTTATTCATTCTCTTCATTTCAATAACTAAACAGCTTTAGGAGTCATAGGTCCTCCAAAGCTCTCTTAACGGTTTAAAGAAAGTTCTTTGCTATAAACCTTAAAAAGTAAATTATTAATTTTCCTCAAGCTGAAGATGATAAGCATAATTTGTGCTTGTCATCAAATTGTTTAACAAACAAATGCTAAGGTGTAGAAATTTATTTAATGACGTTATTTATTCATTTTTCCTTCTTTTTTTTTTTTTTTTTTTTTTTTTTGTTTTCTAAATCGAAAGACCGTGCAACATGTGCAAAATAAAATTTTTCAGTCGAGTAGTCAGAGTAATTGCAGCAATTAGCATATAACAAGTGCACACACACGCACATGCAAGACCCGCTTATATGCTTGGTAAGGCTTATATGGTCAGACGCTGCATAAGCGCTGTATGTTGAGCGCACAAAGTCAGTCAGGGGTGTTTGTATTTATAAGGTATAAAGTAAATAGTATGTTTGTATGTCAAGAAGATGACCTAATATTAGTGGCAAGCACGAAACCAGAAAATAGACCATTCATTTATGTCTAAGCTAATTAAATTTATACACATAAATGTGCATATAATTATTTAAGTACATGTACTTCATAACCATTTTAATCTTATTTTCTTAAACTTTTTTTTTTCTTTTTTTAACCAGATGTTTGGCACATAATTCATATACTTTAAAGACTCACCATCGTCAATTTGTGTTCTCGTTGAGTGTAATCAATGCTCCAACGTCGAAGAGCAAAACAATGGATCAACTAGTACCGCCTTTACAAGCTGCCACACTCAATGTGCCATTAAATGGTGATTTGAATTTAAGTTGTTGCGCTATAATGGAAGATGTGGCCATAGAATGGTGGTTTCAACGCAATGCAAAGTCCCCTTTGGTCAAATTAACCAACAACAGCCGAGAGTATCATATACGTTCTAGCATAGAAGAGTACGAAGGATACTATACATGTTCCACCACTTCAGATAAACAGGTCGATTTTTAAATGTTAACATTTTGAGAATTTTTGAGTTTTAATTAAAAAAATTTTGCATAATTTTACAACATATTGTTTTAGACTTTTCATGTTATTGTTACCAAAATACCGATAATATTGGAAGAGTTGCCTGTCGATGAGGCGAATATAGCTTCATCGAAAACATTTCGTTGTTTGGCCACCGGTAATCCCCGACCGGTAATTACTTGGTATCATAATGGGGAGCCATTCAACAGTTCCTATACGCGTTACATCAACGCCAACGAGTTGTATATACCCTCCTTCGATCCCGATGAAAGTGGCATCTATCAGTGTTTTGCCCGTAACATAGCCGGTGAAGTTTATTCGTCAGGTGAACTTCGTTTACGCAATCAGAGTGAAGTTATACCAAATCCTTTAAAAAATATTAAATGTTATCCTCATACATTTAATTCTATAAATGTGACATTTGAAAATCAAGCAGCAGTGGTAAGTCTAATATTTGGACTTTGAAGTATAATAAATAAATAATTTTACTGAAATACTGCTCTGTACGCCTGTAACAAACTTTGCTCTTTTCAGTCTTTATTTGTAGTTCACATTGGCCTTAAGAAGCCATTTCGTTGGATATCGCCCTTTCCGCCTATGAAACTAAATGCCTCGTACGTGATAATTTACAAACACTTACCCTATATTAGACCCTTTGAAATTGTGACCAGAGTATTAATACCTACCTCGGATATACGAATGGGTAACAAACAACAACAACAAACTATCTTAAGCACATTGCGCAGCCTGCCTGTTACATGCTGTACTCAAGGTTGTAAGTATACGATAATCCTACTTATAAATGAATAAATTCACCTTCAGAATACTATCACACGTACAAATTTAATATCTCAAATTCGCTGTGTTTGACTTCTTTTTTTTTTTTTCAGTACCACCACGATTTGTACATATCGCTAATGATACGTTCGTTACATGGTCGGTAACTGACTTGTCCACCAAAAAGTATTTTATTATACAATTTTCCATTAATCATACCTCACCGAATCCAGACGTTTTGCTTACTCAACAATTAAGCGGGACAATGCAACATGTTAATCTAACCCAAGAGGACATCAATCACAAATTGCGTTCGATTGCAACATTAAATCTAACGGAAACGAAAAGGATTCTAAAGAACGCGGTAAGCAATTACAGTGATAATGAGGTTAGTAACAATAATTCGGAGACAATGGATGATGTCTTCAGTTTGGTTGTGCCAGCCAATGTTACGGGTATTATGTTAAGAAATTTTACACGTTTAAAAGTGCGTGTATTGGTTATAACCGTCGATAATGAACATATGGCTCAGGATTTCCGCTATGTAGAATGGAGAACAGTAAGCGTAAGCATTCTTATATCATTTTCGCATCGTTATGTACACTTTTTTTATAAACTATTCAAATTTCTTTTTAATGTAACTTAGCTTGAAAACGACACGGGAATAGTGTTAACCGCTCCTTATCGTTTGACTATGGTAGAGTCTCGGATGTTACGTTTTCATTTCGATGATAGCTTTATGGAGCATTGCGTTTTAGTATGTTATCTGCAAATACATTATCCAAGGTTGTTGAGAGAGGAACGTAAATGTGAACAACGGCCAGTCGATCAATCGCAATTGGAAATACGTACCTTAAAGCCCACCACACATTATAGTTTGCATTTTTCCAGTTGCGATACTAACATATTTTATGGGCAATTGGATGTCATCACTTTGCCTGATCGTAAGCTTCTTTTTTTTTTTTGTAAAGCATGATGGTAAAATTAATTAATAAGGATTCATGCATTTATTGCAGCTCCCGGCCCGATTAGTAATCAACGTGTCACTCGTCATAATGGGCTGAAATTAAGCTGGGATCCCCCTTTGCAGCCTAACGGCAAAGTTCACCATTACAATATATTATGGACTTTGGGTAACGTGACACATGAAGCTAATGTTTTTGAATGTAGCATATGTTATTATAAGGCAAGTAAAAGATAGGGCTAAAAATGGGGGCGACATTTTAAGATCAAATATTTTTTCTAGTTTCCAAACATTTCCGAATCGGCAAAAATCAATGTATCTGTTCGAGTAGTGGGAGAAACAGGAGTAGGAGCTCCGATTTTCATTGATTTACGCAACATCAATCACCGTTCTTTGGAAATAGAAAATTCCGGTTCGAATTCAGAACTTTATAGCGGTGTAGCTATTGGTTCCTTGCTATCGGCCTTATGCATTTTCGCTTTTGCTATTTTAATAATGGTGCAGCGTAAACGGTTTAAAGCACGTCAACAAGGTCCCACACACTTAAGCACTTCAACAGATATAAATTTTGGAAATTTAAGCAATTCTGGCTTACCAGTAGGTAGCGCTGGAGGCCTCAGCACCAGTACCATGCCGCCAGATTGCCATGAAATGCAAACTCTAATACCGAGAATAGCCGGTAGGCATACTGATTTTCTCGGGGAGCGACCTTTAGAATATCAAACTACTCAATTGCCTAACGGTCATGGTGGTACATTTCGTGCTAGTGCCTGCATTGCACAACCCAACACAACCATGTTAAGTGAATTTGATGTTATAGGGGAACATAATCTGTCAGTAGTGCCCTTATGTAAAACTAGTCCTCAGCGCAGAATAAAATCTTCGAGCAGCGGACACGATATAAATAATAAACCATTTTTTATACCATTTAAAAATACGCCCCCCAATGTTGTGGCCATATCGCATAATCAAAGTTCCTCATCTGTTGCCAATGTACCACCAAGCTCATTGCCTTTGACGGCTAGTCCTTTGGAAGTGGCCGCCAATAGTATTGGTGCACGTCGCAGCAGTAGTTTAAGTAGTGCTAGTAACGGCAACAATGCCATTTCCCTTAAAACCAAACAGTTCCATACCAATTTCCCTAAACATACCAAATCAATTGATGGCATTTGCTTGCTGGCCGAAGAAGAATCTGCGTCTACTATTACTCCTACATCTGACAATGAAAATAATGCTGAATTAATAACCAATGGATTCAAAGCCAAAGAAGAAGTAAGTAGCCTCAAAACAAAAAAGTAAATGACATTTTCTTATCTCATATATCTATCATTCTTATTCAGAAATCTCTTCAAAGTCAGGCAGATGAGAAACCAACCGTCTCTAAGACTATACAGAAAAAATCAAATCAACAAAAAGCGAATAATAACAATTCAAAGCAAAAAAGATCTACGTGCGTACTAACAGCGTTTAAAATTCCCGTAAGTGCAACAGCAAATGCAGTAATAGCAGCAACAGACGCCCAGCATGCAAATACTTTAGTTCCTACATTTGGATCCACCAATAACAAATGCGTATCGAATACGCCTAATAATTGTTTCTCAGGTAAGGTAAAAACAACAGCAACAAACACTGCCACATCAAAAGCTACAGGCTTAACATTACAAGACACGAATTACCGACAGCCAAATATGGATCCAAATGGGTGAACTCTGTTTTCCTCAGTATTCCCGCAATTACTTCCAATGACCTTCAAACCTCATTCCAGAATAGAATCTAATGACAACAGTTAACCGATTCATAAAAAAAAAAATAAATAAATCAACTAAACATTCCAGAGAATTTATAAACAAAAAGCAAAAAAAAAATATAGGATAAAATATGCAGAATTTTAGCTACATATGTACGTACATTTTATAAATGTTTTTACATAAGATCTTTCTCTTTCCAGTTTTCATTTGTTCAACAGAATATAGTATTAAATATTTTTTTGCTTTTTTACTTATTCTTATACTAATTTACAATTTTTCATTTAAAGTGAAAGCCACGAAAGACAACATTTTTCATTAAGGGCGCCTCTCATCGAAACCCTTTTTGAATAACCACATTTTCTTGGTAACTTATATGTACATATATATGAAAGGTGCTTAATTCATCCAATTTGTCCAAAATAAGTCTCACATCTCTCGCAGACATGTGACATGTTTTCTAGTATCTGAAAGAGGCACACATAAAACGGGAAAATATGAAAGGTATCTCTATCTCCAGTCTAGAGGTAGTCTCGTTCCTTGCACTTTGCCGGCATTAAAATATTATGAAGTGCATAAATCGAAAATAATATCTTTTTTAAGACATTCAGCTGATCTTAACGGTTTTCAAGTGGCCGGGATAAAACACAACTTTTGTTAAAAAAAAAAAAAGTCTTTGCACCCACTAGCGAACATTATCGAGTAGAGTGTGCCTGCTCAAGAATAAATGAGATATTTTGACAACAGAAAAACTAAAAAAAAAAAAAACTAAACTTTGTGATATAATCTTAAAAAAAAAAAAAAGGCAAACGAAAGAGAGGTTCCCCTGTGGAAAAGTTCTATATTCATAAAAAAGTTAAGCGATGAAAGAACGCAATCGTTTAAATTTTCGACAATTCGATATTAATTAAGATCTCCCGCTTCTGGGTCCTCTTTTCTTTCGAGAAAAAAAAAAAAAAAAAAAAATGCAAGTATAGTCTCTTTTCGTCTCTTTGTGATTTCACTTAAAAATTCTCAAATACTACTTTTTATTATTTTGTTAAACTCACATATATTATTGAGGCTAAATAATCTTTTAGTTTTAAATATTTGTACATTTAGTGATTATTATTATTATTATTATTTATTTATTTATTTACACAAAAGTAATTATGTGAATGCTTTAATGTTTACATTTAAATGCATACAACAACTTACCACTGAAAACACGTATAGTAGGCAACAGACGTCTGAAATTAAAACCAATTCCAGCAATATTCTACCAAAAACAAATGAAAAATTTTAACCCTCCACTTACATATATTGATCTATATACACATCATTGCAATAGACATACTATTTCATTTCGTTATATTTACATTTAGATTAACTTTATTTATTTTTTTTTTTTTTTTTTTTTTTTTAGTCCTTACTTATATAAAATATAATAATTTTTTATTGTTTTATTCATTAAATTATTACATTCTCATTAGGTTTACTCATGACACATTATTTAGTTAAGTTCGTTTTTGTTTTCTTCCTTTTCTTGTTTCACATAATTTACCGTAATATTCAAATGTACCTGAACAGCAACAAAAAAAAAAAAAGAAAGAAAACAAAACATACAATCTTTTCTATATCGTTCCAAACCCCGTTCTTATTTTAAATATGCCCAAATACGGATACGTTTAAAGTATTTTATTTATTTATTTTTGTATATATATGAGTTCCTTTACTTCCTTATTTTTAAATTAAATAATTTTCATATTAAAATTTCTTTTATTATCGCAATAATACGTTCAACTTGCGAAATATATCTCTTCTCTATTTTGTCCATTGCTTGTTTGTTCGACTTCTTCTCTATATCATGCGAGAAGTGAGAATTTTCTTTTACATAAATGCTTTATAACGCAACATATAATTTATATCAACTATAGTTTTCTCCCATGAATCATAATGTAATTTATTGCTTAATACTGACTCTTAAAAAACGAAAGAGAGAGTGAATCACATCTTACCAAAAAAAAAATATCATGTGTAAGGAAAAATGTACAGTGTTCTGATAACCCCTTAGTTGTTCAAGAAATTATAATTTGCTCATCTAAATTAACTTTTTACTTCTTTCACAATACGATCTTGATAGCAAACCCAAATTTAAAAATTAGTATACGTATACTGAATATATAATGAAAATAAACCAAGCATTTTATCTCATTCCTAAATACTAAATTCTGTTGAAAAAATATCTCACATAAGAGATATATGTCATGTAAAGTAACATATCCACTTTGACATGAGAGTCCTCTTTTATTGCATGAAAGTGCAAGAAATGAATTGAAAAATTTATCAAAAATATCGACAACAAAATTTCTTTTGAAAAACTGCATTGCACGTCTATGCATGTAAATGAAGAGGAAGTAATTAAAATGGAGGTCAAACTCTTCGATGGTCTTCTAGTTTCTGTTATTGCGATAATGTTGAATAAACAATTTTCCTTGTTTTTTTATTAATTTATTTTTCATCTTAACTATTTAACATCAGCTAAGCAGAATTTGAACACAATAACTAATTGTCAACAACATAAACATATACATCTAAAGGTCACAAAACTTAAAATTTTAAATGAAGACATTTTCAAATATGAAAATCATTTTTAAAAAGAAAAGAAACACTTTCAGCTTGGATTAATTGACAAATATTGTACCTAAAAGAAAAAAAAAAAATTTATTTAAAGACAAAATACTAAAACAACTTATTAAGTGAAAGGAAAGATAAACATTAAACAGTATGTAGAAATTTAATATAATAAACGGAACAAACCAAAATGAACCTGTATTCGTACCTCTCCGTTATATATACATACACACAGACATACCTACAAAATAAAAATGGAACAAAATTACTACAGATGTTGAAATTAGAATTAAAAAAAAAAAATAATAATAATAAAATCATTTTTAAAAGTGTGTTTCAAAATACAAAATTATTTTTTATAACATTAAAATGTTCATAAGCTAAATAACATAAAAATTACAATATTTACCAGATCATACAAGACAAACAACAAGAAGCAAAAATCAGATTTTTAATTCGATAATTAATACGAGCATAGCGGTTATGTAATCGGCTCCGTGTAAATATTCATAGATTCCCGCGGATAGATCAAGAATAAATTAAGTGCAATAAATACTATAGATAAAAATATTTCTATCTTGTATATCACACATCCGCACACAAAAACACACGCATACCAAATTTGCGTACATAGTCACATAAACTCAAAGACACAAGCAGATTCTTAAACCGATTTAAGTTTAAAAGCTTAACGTAACTTCATTTAGCGTCTACGAAGACTGACTGGTTTAGTGTAGACTTCCCAACCGAAAAAGCAGAAGAAATTCGTTCGTACTTACACTCGCAACATTTAGAGTAATTGTGCTTGTAATAAATAAAAAAAAACCCTAAAAGAAAACAAAACGATGACAAACATTGACCTAAAGTTTTCGCATGAAGAATATTTCAAATTCGCCCGCGAAATTAACAAAGATTCCGTACATTTGATGACAATTCGTTCCGTTTTTTTAAACCACTACTAGGCTCTGTTTGGAAGAGGAGTATTATTTCATTATGCCTTTATTTATAATAAGACCGATTAAAATATATTTTGAAATCGAAATATTATTATTATTATTGTTACAATAATGTAAATCAGAGAAATCAACTCGGCTATCGACCTTATTGAAAACTCTACTGCACTTCAAATTTAAACCCACGACCATTGAGTTGTTAGTCAAGATCCGAATTGGCCACTCAATGGGAAAATCAAAGTAAAATCTTGTCCGTTCGTCATGTTCCGAACACTTTCCTTTCTCTTGGGGTTCCGTTTCAAGTCCGAATATAAGAAAAACGTTACGCCTTATATTTCTTCGGTTTTTTTTTATCAAACAAATACGATATACTTGGAATTAATTTTATATTGTTCTTCTTCAAAAAAATTATCCGAAAATGTTGTAGTCTGAAGCCGTGTGATTCGGAATAAGGTATCTCTATGCTTCGAAACTCCTGTTCTTCAAGTACCATGGTTTTGTATAATATTGTGTAATTTTCATCGATCTTTTTTGGCACAATTCAAATACTATGGAAAAGAATGTGAATCTTAGAGATAAAGGTTCAAATATTTAAATGAGGATAAAAGGAAAATATCATTGCATACATAACATTTGGCAAGAATTCCACACTATCTCACTGCTTCAGTGAGGAAGCGAATAATCCCTTCTCTTAATGGGAAGTAAATAATCCCTTCTCTCTAGAGAGAACTATTCATCATCTGTTTTAATTCCCTTTGCTTCTACAATTCCACTGAATGGTGTCTCTTTATTGACGCGTCATAATTAATATCTATGCTAACTTATGTTAAGTTACGTTAAGTTTCTATAAGAAACGCTTAACCTTAAAGTTTTCCACACAAAGAAACACTGTTATGCATATTTATACGATTTGCGATTTAATAATAGCTGAAGCATGTAGTACAAGTTGTAAAACAGTAAAATATAAAATTCGAGTACATTTTTTTTTTTTGGTTGGATGGCAGGAAGAAAAGTAAGAGAGAAGAAGAGGGTTTTTAAGGGTTAATCTTATCTTCATTATCATTCCTAATAATTTTTTTTTTTTTTTTTTTTAAGAAATTTTTCAAGCCAGAGATATTAGTATTGTGTTCAGATATTTTCACGAAACTAAAAGAAGAAAAAAAAAAATTGATTAAATCATTATCATTTCTCACTACCATAAAAGAAATAGAATTTAAAGCTTGTAACTGTAATTGTGTCACAACAGAGTTTTTCATCCTTATATTCAATACATTTTGGTCTTTTAGTTTTTTTAAAAGAAAACGAACTCAGTTTCCTAAAATTAATATTAAAATTAATATGAAAAATAAAAAAAAAAGAATTAAAAATAAAAAAAAAAAAAAAACATGTGGCGACAATTTGAAAGCAAAATAAAATCACTTTATAAGTGGATGTGATAATTATAATGTAAACATATTCAATGTATTGACTCAGTTTATTAAATCTCTCGCAATACAGCAGAAAGAAAGACTGTAAGTAACATACTTTACGTATTTTAATTATAATTATGAAGATTTTTTCTATGATAATTAGTTGTGCGTTTTATGTTTCTTTTATAAACTTTTTTTTTTCATGCATGTGGCGCGGAGGATGTTCCCTATACGTTCCAGCACGATGGTGCTGAGATGTATGTAAATAGATATAATACATATAGCCATAATATCATTCCCAATATCAATCCTTATCAGATACTACGCAAGTAGACCTTTAGCTATGAACATAAATATCTAAATTTTTGCATTTTTATGCCCCAGTTCACTTATGTCATAGGTTATATTTAGTTTTGTGTGGATAGGTGTAACATCCAGACCTATTTAAGATATGTCCACTTTTTGTTTTCTGTCTGCCCATCTGACGTCTCTCCATATATTCTGGTGTTCAACTTGCAGGTAGCAATTATTGAATGATTTGGATTGGACCACATTTACGTCCAAATCCCAAATAACGACTTATTTCGGAATACATGAAAAAAGGTTGCGATTGCTATGAAAAATGTGGATCGAATGGAGCAATTATTTGAGGACCCTCTTGTACAACTGAAAACTGAATTTTCTTACTCTTTCGTCTTCGTAGGTCTATATTTTGCATCTCATCCCTTATAAGGCTTTATGAAGTAAGCCTTTATTTGGGTAAATGTCAAATTGTTGATATTTTATGAGGAAAATTGTTGTTGTATTGTAATTTGATGCAAAGCGGTCTATTTTTCGAACACCACCGTTTATAAGGTTCTCTTAACTGCCAAAAAGATTGGACTTGCCATACTTTCTGTTAATAAGAGTTTTCCTTAGAGTACTCATGATGATGCTATTCCCTATAGTTCTCATGAATAATGAAATGGCTCTTATAACCTATAATATGTATCTGGATCTTGGATTTATTTCTTCTATTGTTGCGATATTGTTATATTATCTATTACTTTTCCTTTTCTGTTGTTTACGACTGTGCCGAAATAGATTCTAAGACCTTGCTGGCACGATAATTAATAATTATAGTATTGGTAATTGAATTGTCATTAATAATTATTATAAAAGTAACACTTTTGACAAAAAGATATAAAATTTAACATTTTACTATGAAAATTAATTCAGAATGGTAATTTGCCATAGAAATACGATTCCGAATTTTATATTTCTAATAAATATTTGGTCAAAAGGAAATCTATGGACCTCTTTTTAACTTCATAACTTCAAGTTTAAAAAAAAAAATGGCGTCAAACCTGATCACACTGTACTTAAACATTTTTCAAATTTGCAATCTTAATCAAAAGATCAGATCTCATCCGACATTATCTAAGTAGAAAAATAGATCTTCATATATAGTTTACAAATTCTCATAACAATTCTGCACTTCATCACCTGGAATGTCTAATCCAAGCTGGAATTGCAAAAGCTGTCTTTAGTACTGTAGCTGTGCGTTTCCACACAAAATATGTACGGCTTTAATAGCAGATTACTTCCCATTCTACATCTTCACAATGCCAAATGACAAACTTTTGCAGTTGGGCTATGAATTTCTTGCAGTATAGTTGATTAGATAATCAGAAGAACTTCCTGCAACAAGTGGGCTCCTTAAGTAAATAACTCTCCAAAGACCAGTTACGCAGAGTCGAACCTTGGAATTCTTATACTGGCTGAGAGATAAAAAACGTAGACCATAGTTTCGAATAAACTACATCGTGTCTTCGTTTTTCTAAAATAAGTTCAATTTTACTTAAAAAAAAAATTATTAAAAACTTATTGAGATGCCTTCAAAAATATATTAATAAAAAGAAAGAAATTCTAATTAAAATTTATGATTTTTTATAGTTACTTTTTTTATTTATTTATTTACATATATATATATATATTTTTTTTTTTCTTTTTGCAATACATATTTGATTTGTACATTTTTTTTGTTTCAAACGAATCGCTCGCTATCAGTGAATATGACGTACTTTTAATTCATGTTTTATTAAACGAAAGATAACAATCAAGTTTTAATTGCATGTAATACATCAAACAATTTAATTTCAAATCAAATTAAAACGAACTCAAAATTTCACACACACATACGCATTACCATGTCGATCGTAGTAAAGCAACGCAAAATCACATTTCGTTTTAATTTTGATTAAAAATCTTTAAAAATGACTTAAAACGATTTTCGTATATATAATATATATATATATATAAAATTACAAATAAGGAAAGATTAACACAATTATTGCAAATATTGTTCCATACGTACAGTTGGGTTATTTAGGCACATTGGTTGAATTCAAATTACAAATGTTTTATGTCTAAAATTAACAAACTTTTTTTATCATTTTAACTAATTCTTTATATAAAATACAATCACGACTCCTCGGCTTACAAATTTCACGATGATCTAAACGAATGCCGCATACATCGCCGATACCCGGATCTACGAGAACAATGGAAACTTTATTTATGATCTCACTTTTTAATTGGATGAGTAAAAACTAATCTTACCGGCCGAGTCCACTCCAACAATTCGTAAATATAAAAGTGACATTAGCGTTAAAGCGGTCTCGACGAAACTAAATACCTCGATTTTTAAATGACCCAAATGATAAAGACCCGCAAAACGTCGATGTAAATCTAATAAGTATTTGCTATCTAAGTACGCGAAAGAAAATCAATTTATTGATTTTTAATTTTGAATTGATCATTTGAACATACTTTTTTCTATATCTATAAGTTCCACAGATCTAATGAGTAGCGGGGCCTTAATTGAGGCCAAATGCGAACCCCGATGTGGCACTGAGTAAAAGAATACACCTCTAGCCGAACGCCAAAGAGGTGCCATGGCTGGGCGTCCGCTCTCCCAAGCGTGAACGATTATTTCTTTTACAAAAAGTCCCCCTTTAGAATGACCCACATAGACAATCGGATGACCGTGACCGACACGATATTTAATTAATAATTCTGACATTTCCCGAGATCTTTGTATCAGATTCGTTCTGGTCTCTTTATTCTTCCACATCGGTCGCCATAAATATGAATCGGTGGTATAATCTACGGCCATTACTCGCACGCCTGGGCAATCCAACGGTAACCAATCGCCGGGCCAACATTTCGAATAATTCGGATCGTTAGGATCAAGTTTCAAGTTTGAACTTGAATTTGAACTTAAATATTCCTCATGAGGGTTTGCCGAGTTTTCATTATTTAACAAATACTCTAACAACTCGGCTTGCAATAACCGACTGCTATCGTTCATGCGCAAACGAAACGTAGGCGAACTATATTCTGTACCGTCACATATTTGCACATTTTCTGTCTGATTACGGGAAAAAGAATACCTGCAAATAGTTAGGGATTTATTTTTCTGTCTTCACAATAGACGCTAGGTCGCTTACATGTTTTCACCATAGTTGTTGAAGTTTTCATCGCACTCATCAATCGAGTCTGTAGTCGCGTCCGAGAATTGCTTGGCATTATCGGTATAAGCGAAACGTGGTCGCTTTTTTTTATGTGGTGGTCGTGCAATGGTTGTACGTGAATGGCGGGGTCTTTTCGGTGGTCTTACCGGTGGCCTTGGTGGCCTATCAAATTGAACAGGCCGCCGTTCATTTTCCCATAAGCCTTGCCGCCAAGTTTTCACCACCGAACCGTGGAGGCCGTGTATGAAAATGATATCGGCCCGTATTGGCTGACCAGGTGGCGGTTCTGCCAAAATTTGCAAAGTGCAACATTTCGGGGCAATTTGCTCTTCGACGGTCGTCTTTTTTTGACGATTCAATTGAAGTAGTGCTGGTAGCAGTGTTGGCTCTAATAAAAATTTCAAATCCAAAGAAGGCACTATAGCTGATAGAGTTGGCGAGTTTGACGGTGTCATTTGTTCGTCCGAAAAAGTTGGCAAAATTTCGGTGCCATCACAAGATTTTTTGATTTTCAATAATTTCAATATTGGCTCGATCCGATGAGAAACTATGAAAGTATACCATGAAATGAAGAGCTAAAAAAGTGCAAAAATTTGTTCAATTAGTTTAGCGTATACGCACCTTGTGCTACAGATAAGTTCATTGATATAGTATTAGCGGCAAAAGCGAATAAATTTATTAAAGTCTGGCGACTGCAAGCAATACTACGTGAAAATTTAAGGAAACGTACATCTCGTATACCTTTGAAACCCCGCACTACACCGTTAGCTAAAGGTACTAAAAATCTTAAAATCACTTCAAAAGCCACTCGTATGCTTTTGTTATGATTACTAAAATAATATTTGAAATTACAAATAAACCACACAAAGGAATTAAATTAGGATAAAAGCTGGGTGAATGAAATAAATGTAAAAAGCACTTACCCCGTTACAATTTGCCCGGAATTTATTGAACCTTTTCTCATAATCTTAACTTCGCCTGAGCGATATCGATTATTAATGTATGCTGCGGATACATTATCATCACAATTTGAAAATTTATTGCATCTTGTTGCGGCAGATCTCCAAATTGCTGCAGCTTTCACAATCGATAGATTATTACTTTCACAAGTCATATCAGAATTGAAATTATCAGTTCGGATTTGTACACGTCCATCATCGTTCGAATTTAATGGAATAGTAGTTAGTTTAAGTAAATTATTGCAATTCTCGTCATAAGTATTTTTAAAATCAATTGACAACATTTTCGTTCACATATTTAGTTAAATCCATTAAATGCTTACTCGTTTCACCTAAAAATAGATTAAGATAATCGCATGTTTAGTGTCTTTTACAATGAACAATGAACATGTGCCGCCGCCTTAACAACTATGCTTTACGCTATAATCAATATATCGCACAATAGCTTCACCGAAACACGTGAGAGACAATTTAATGCTTTTTATACCCATCACCGCACAGGATGAGCGGTATGTATGTTCATTTTGTCAAAACGTTTGCAACGCTCAGAAAGAAGCATCAGAGACACCACAAAGTGTATATGTATTCTTGATAAGCAAAAAAAATTTTGAATCGATTTAACCATATCCGACTGTGCGGTTGTCCGTCTGTGTAAAATCTATTGTAAACATTTTCTCGTCTGCGAAAATGAAGATATCATTTGCAAACTTGCAAAAGAATTTGAAAACGATACAACAAACTTTTCAAAGAGCACGCTTGCAGCGCCCACAGGGCTATATATAACAAAAATTGTGTATTTTCCGTGTTACTCATAGTGTACGACATATGGACCATATAACTTCCCGCTCTTGTTCTGAAAATACGAAAAATCAGCCGTGCCCATCCAATAGTATAGAGTATGAGATGAGTTATTTATTGCTTTTGCTTTTTTTTTTTTATGCCCACATTGACGGGTGTAAAAGATTCAGTGACGACCGAATATAAATTTTCTTACTTGTTTTTTTGCGGTTTACTTTTAAGATTATATTGACCGAGGAAATAAGTAATACACCGAGCAGCGAATAAAGCTAAATGTCTTGGGTATTGGGATACAGTTATTAATATGTAATATCTCTGCACATATCTCTGACATGTGTGTAATAGATTTTTAGGCAACTGAAATTTTTAATCTACCATTAGCTACTGAAGTAACTTGAGAAAAGATGTCTCAGTAAAAGATAAAGCTAAGTATTCGGAATTATGATACATTTAATATTTGAGCAAAAAAATGTATATATATATATATATATTAAATAACTTGAAATAATTTAGCATGGACTCTTGTATCTCGCCATTGAGCTGAACAAAGAAAAATGTGTAAAAGTGCAATCTTTAAATAAAGATAAATTAGTAAAAACACACAACGATCCGACCGGCATATTACAAGACGCTTTACACAGACAGCAGAATGCCAGGCTTCAGATAAAATTCTACAACGACTAAATCTTTAGTGCATAGTGCATAGAAACTTCTTTGTCCATTTGCTTTGATCATTTTCAACACTTAATATTGGTCCACAACAAATTTCGAACTAACAAATCACTATTAAATGAGGAGAAAATGAACGAAGACGAAGCCAAGCAAAATTCAAGCCAACAATTTCCCAGTAGTATCTGGTGTGTTGAAATTTCAGAACATCCTTCAGACAAGGAAAAGAGAGACGATCTTTCTGCTCACATTAGAGCGAAGGTGAGCAGAAGCGTGGAAAGCCCTCACACGATTTGGAAATGTTAAATTTTGAAAAGTGTATGATCAGAAGTCAATTTTGGGCCCGCTCCAAAGAAGAGCGCGAACTTTTGGCCGCAAAAGGTGTTACGAGCGGACAAAGGACAAAGGAAAACATTTGAAGCAAGCGGTAATATCACAAAAGATGACAAGTTTGTCAGCGATTGTGAAGGCTCGGCGGATTTGGAATATGAGAAACAACGCCCACGCTATACATAAGCAATATAATAATTTTGAAGAAAAGCGCAATTTCTTAGCTCAACATTCAAATATTGATTTATTTTCACTGGATATACAATATGCTCAAAATGCTGAGTATAATTTAATTTAAAAATAAATTATCGCAAACATGTTCTCTTCCCTCAACTATTCACTCACTTAATTAATTTTTTCTTCTCTGGTATTAAATTTAAAGTTAATATGAAATGTTCTCCGCTTTATCGTGAAATCGATAATAATTCCAGTTAATTTTTTTTTTGCTTTGATTTAAAACAACCATCAAGTTGCAAATGAAAAGTCCAACTGAATAATATCTTCAGAAAAGGTGTACATGTTCTATATGTAACGCAACAATTTAATAATCATTTTGAGAAATGAAATGTTGCATGTATATGATGATGACAAAACTCTTATTTAATTGTTATAACAATTGTTGTCATGTAAAATAAAACGCTTTAATAAAACGCACGTCCAAAGGTTGTATGTAAGAAGAAACTATCTATTGATGAATAACGTATGGGAAACACACAACTGATATCTGAATTTAAATTGGTTTCCATTTCCATATACTACATAATAAAAAATACATTGCTATGCCTATGTACGTGCAATTACGCATAACATCGCCCATTTTATGGAAACGAAAGTGAAAAAAAAAAAGGAAAAAGGAAAGGCAAGAAGAATTTTTTTATATTCAATATGGCGGCGATTGGATATTATACTTTTGAATCACCTATCCATCCATTTATTCTTGAGCTCTTGAGATCTTTAGTATAGGCTGTAATTGTAAATGGGGCGATATCGAAATATTTGAAGAAAACTGCTTTCATTCATTGCAGAGCTAATTCAGTTCTGATGACGAAAAATTTATTTCACACACCTCTTCATATCATATGGCAAGCGGTCGAAAAAGTAGTACAATCTAAACCATTTTTCAGAACGGTCGTCCAAACAAGCCGGTGTATGGCAAAATATCTCAAAAATTTTCAGCCTTTAGGTTGAGTAGCAAAAAAACAGATGAATGCTGGACAGGCAAGCTTAGACTTAGGAAGCGATTCTGAATTTTCAGCGTTTAGGTTGAGTACAAGAGTGCAGATGAACAGATGGGCGGACAAGCTTAGATCGACTTAGGAAGTGGTTCTGAATCGTCCATATAATAAAAGCTGGGTCTATCTTAAGTCTTTTTGGATGTTACATACATCCGCACAACCTTATACTAGAAATGGTGCAGGATGTAAAAAGAAAAGTAAGCCTTTACAGCAAAAAAACCTCTCTACAGTTCGTAGATGAAGCTAAAAAGATCTACGTAGACGCTTCACTTAAGCTATATACCTTATTAGCAGAGTTTATGGGTTCAAAAATTAAGGGAATTAAATACAACGAGTCTTTTGCGACGAGTCTAAGCACATAGAAAATCAATGGTTGTCCAATACACCAGCAGAAGCACTGTAGAGTTGAAGACAACATTTTAATTTATTAAGCCGAACACGCAGTTACAAATAAGCTCAAATATTGTTTAGGTTAGAAGGTGATAGTACGCCAAGAACTTGCTTGGCAAACGCTCTCAGCGACAGTCGCATTTCTCCACAGTCATATTATATAGGTTTTCTTAACAATAGCGAATAAAATTTGAAAACATTTTTATTGAATTTTCGTTTTTCACTCTTTGACTCGCACACGCCTCAATCTTTACGTACAGGTGCACTTTATTAATTACTAATAACTTCCATTAATTATGATGCAAAGGGGTGTGACACAAGGTTTCACCTACAAATTTTTTCATTTATTCATTTTCAGTTATTCGATTTTCAATATAATCAAATCCGCTTAGATAAGTCAAAGTAATTAGTTACTACAAGCCTTACATTTCTCAATTTCAATTTAATTAATTTGATTTAAATTATTTTATATTTTATATTTTATTCTCTTGTTGCTTTCTTTTATTTTTTTTAGTTTTTTACTTTGAGTTTTGTTGATTCTTATTAACCGTTACATTTGAACGTTGAATTGCTAATGAACCTGTACAAAGGCAAATATGAAACGTAATGCATTCTGTTTGCTAGCCAACCAGTCGACCATAAATGTTACGGGAAAATTTCGTGAGAATATACAACTGAAAGAAAGCAAAAAGACTACTCTGCAAATGAATTTTTCTTGCATAAAATCCTACTAATCGAATTACATTCACAGGCACGTGGGGGAAGGCTTTTAAGTGTTTGTGCATCACATCGAAACAAACAACTTTTGTAGAAGGAAGGATTTTTATAATCAACACATGAAGTTTGTGTATATATATATGCATATATATGCATATATATGCATATATATATATATATATATATATATATATATATTTCTTTTTTTTTCTTTTCTATGCACACCTATACGTAACATTCTGTAGATGTAATATAATAGAAACCGCAAAGCAAACAAAAAATTATTAGAAAACTATGCCTAATTAAAATGAATCGGAATACAAAAAAAAAAAAATGTCAACAAAATTGTGCAGACATCATGCAATGTTCAAAAGATATCGTTTACAATCTGTTTATAGGTTTACCGGTCAATAAGTCAGATTCAGTCCAACTAAACAAAAAGAAAATCATAAAATCAAGTGAATTGTCATAAACGATTTACTAAAGTAATTTTCGTCGTTCTTTCTTTTCGATTTTTCCAATTTGTTTTTTTTATTTATTTATTTTTTTTAATTTAATGCCGTCACAGTAGGATTTTTTTAATAGATAAAAACAAAAGGCAGAGCGAAAACATTCTGGCTTTATTCTACTCTTTTTCCCTATTTCTTCAAAGACATCTCTCAACTTTCTGGAACGGTTCTTCCTTACACTCGATTTTGATGACTAGCCTGAGGCGATCGTTGATCTTCTCGTGTTCGAGCTTATTAAAGGAGTTTAACTTTTTATGGATAATTCGATCATTTTTACTTACTTTTTTTTTTAATAAAAAAGAAAGAACTAAAAACGCTCTACAGTGACACGATCGACAGTCAAATACCCTACATCACTTCGCTTCAGGCATTTGTTCATAAAGCGACTTCTCAAAGCTTTTATAAGTGAAGTGGTCAAAAAAGTGGTCCGATTCGAAACATAATGCGTTCATTCTTGGATCGAACATGTCTGTGTACCAAATTTCATCAAAATTTTCTTTAAACTCAACACAAGCAAACAAAACGGACAGACGGACGGACAAAAAGTGATTCTGGCTCGATTGATGTAAAGAAAGGTGAGTTCATCTAAAGCCTTTCTGGGTGTGGCATAAATCGGTACAAATTTAATATACCGCAAGTGGCGTAGTGTACAGAAATACAATGAATAAATGAGTTAAGGCTTTA